TTAGTATTCTAGTATGATAAAATTTAATTTTTGGGGTGGGCCACAGGGAGGGCCCGAGACTTTTTATGGTGGGCCCGGGCCCACCCTGGCGCCGCCACTGCGTCATTTTGATATTGTAATTACCTACATTTTTTAATCACTCAAACTGGAGAATGCCATTGTCTGACATTTTGAAGACCACATTTATGTCTTCATATTTTAATCAGATTTAATTCAGATTATCCCTGCAATATTAAGTACAGCCACAGTGTAAACCGAAATTTACTTAATGAACAATTCACAGAAAGTAAAAGTACATCCTTTATAGCTTTATTTTGAAAACTTATAAATAAAAACATGATTTTTGTATTGGTTATCAAATTGTTTAAATTATTAATATTATAGATGTTCTTCACATACAAACCTGGTTTAAATTTAATTTGTATATGCATAGTACTGTTTCGTTTTAATGAGCATCTTGATGTAGTACAATTTTCAATAGTCACTGTTACATTATTTAAAATTTCTTGATTTCCTGAAKAAAAAAATATGTAATAACAAAATATACTTAACTAATCGAAAATATATTTATATGTTCTAAGAGTTATTATTTATTATTTAAGGAATCGTAGTTTAAAAAGTTATTATCATAAACTGATTTTCCTGTTAAAATCGACAGCAGAGAAGGCTCTGTATCCTGTGTGAACAATACCTACTACTCCTCTACTGTCATTTTTTTATTAACGTTTACTATACACTAATACAGCAATATACATTATATTAACAATAATTATGGTTGCTTAATTTTATAAAGAAGAAGAATACATGGTCCAGTATTTAATATTGGAACACAACAATGGTAACTGAGATCGAATGCCCAGTTAGAAAACTTATACAGAAAACAGAAAGGAAAATATTGTGCAATTTATTATAAGTATAAGAATGCAACGGGCCGGACATGCGTGGCGAGCAGACGGATGCCTAATAAAAGAAGTAATAACTTGGACGTTTGCAGGGAGGAGACTAAGGGGAAGACTATGAAGAAGATGGATTGACAGCATAAAAAGAGATATGGAATGCGACAGCCCATGGTGGGGTGGATTGGCAAGTTATAGCATATGATAGAGAGAAATGGGAGTAGGTAGTTTTGGCGGTAAAAATCCATAGTGGGTTGTAAAGCCGGAAAAAAAATCTTTATAAAGATAATAATATAGTAGGTATAGTAAATAAATAACAATTAAACTTGAATCTTAAACTGACCTGCTTGAAATAGATAAGTATGCAGACTATTGATCTAAGATCTAACGATATATTATGTATAAATGTACAGTAGAATCCGCTTATTAGAAACGGGTAATTGATACGATTCCCGGACGAAAAGTCCGGTATGGAAATAGTTGGACAAAAAGTCCGGATTCATTTTTTGATTGCCAGACAAAAAGTCCGAACACATTTTTAGTGTCGGACAAAAAGTCCGAAAATACAAAATTGTCTATTCAATTTTCATTTATAATTATAATAATGTACCTTATATTATATAATATTATTATGTAGGTATATATATAATATACACATGTAATATGATATATATATATAGTCAGTTCATATATAATTATTATTTATTTAAAAAATATAATTGTAATACTTTTATTACACTATTATATCATTGTACCTACTTTTTTTTATATTTTATTATTTCTTATATCTAAAAAAAATATTACGGAAGTCCGCTATAGTTTGGTAGGTAGGTCTATCGTCTACGTGGATCTATTGTTTATCGCAGCTGCACGTCTACAGTTTATCTACCATAATTGATAATATCATTACCTACAATCTACATGCTACAATAGCGTTATTACTTATTACCACGATTATAATATAAATCTTGATAATTTCTGTTGTATTTATGTTAGGTATAAGAAATAATAAGAATAAGAAAATATAAAAAAACACACATATATATATATATATAATATATTATAATATATAAAATATTATAATATATAAAATATTATAATTACACAATTATGACAAATTAGACAATTTTGTATTTTCGGACTTTTTGTCCGGCAATCAAAAAATGAATCCGGACTTTTTGTCCGACTATTTCCATACCGGACTTTTTGTCCTCGGACTTTTTGACCGATTACCAATTGATACAATCGCGTTATTGAAACAAAATGTAACGGGAAAGACCGGCTGTATATTAGAAAATTGAAAATAAATAGGATTATTGAAACATCACATCGGTTATTTGAAACAATTGGGCGAAGGTCAGTTGACATGTGCGATAACCAATTTTGAGCAGCATTATTCTTATTCATATGAAAATATGGTCATAGAGGCACTTGACGCAAAAAAACAAACTTCGATCAATAAATATTTTAAATATTATAGTAAATATATAATATATTTGTACATACTTTTTTATAAATTATACAATATACATACATATAGGTACATACATTTTTCGCATATTTTTCATTTTTTTTTCAAAATATAAATCAAACCAATCGGTTAATTGAAACATTTCACTTCGGTCCCAAAGTGTTTTTAATCAATGGCTTCTATTGTATATTATATACCTATAGGTCTGAGTTAGTGAATCTATGGGCTATGGCACGTTGGTCAAATTTCAATGGCATTGTAAAAACTATACTATTTATAAAATTTTAATTTTCCTATGTAAAATGTATTACGTTACTATATTATTATTATATTATGTACCTACTATTTGGTATTTACGACTTTGGACGCATGGGAATTTTTCAAAACCTTGATTRAAAAAAATTTGCCAACTGACCCAAAAAAGGTTCACCATTCCTGCTATAGGTAATATCTACATAATTTATTTAAAAAATAAGTTAGACATATATTGTGCCTTTTTAAATCTACTGTAGTAAATAAGAATAAATCTAAAAATAAAAACTGTTACATAGAATATTTTGTTTCAATTTGGAAATAGTCAGATTACTCAGATTGACAAATAAATCAAGTAGGTATATTGAATTAGTATTAATTATTGCAGGATATACCTAAACCTAACTCATTAAATTTAATTGTTAACAATAATCTAAAATATTTATGCCTGTTTTAAATAGATCAGACACTAATCTACGCGTAAGATATAGGAATTTAAAGAAATTATTCATGTGAATATTGTGTATTATTTAACTATATATTATATGAACCCTGAATATATTTTTCAAAAATAATTTACAAAATGGACGTCTCACACTTTCTAAAGAAATAATTAGTAAGGGGATCCTAAAAAAAACATCTTCCACTATTGGAACCATTAGTAAATTATGGCCAGTTGTAAACTCTTCCCAGATTTTTTCAAATAAAAATGAATAATTATTGATATGTTGGTAAATTCGAATCAAATAAGTAAAATAATATGCTCTGATCTTCTTAAATATCTAATTAGTAATTACCGTATAATAATTTTGAGAACCATTAAGAGGACGCAACACCCGCATATGTTGTCTCCGTCTTACAAGTGCGTAACATAGCAAATTGTATGCTCAGCAGATCACGTTTAGCTCCGTTAGTTTAAAATTTAGAGTAAATTGACCTCTTACAAAAATTAAAGGTAACATTATTATCGAGAGCATGACGTAGACTTTTAATTATATTTTAATTTTAAAGTGAGTTATGTGTATTTTAAAATTTAAAATTGTTTGTATATCTTAAAATACACATAACTCACTTTAAAATTAAAATATAATAAAAAGTTTACGTCATGCCCTCGATAATAATGTTACCTTTAATTTTTGTAAGAGGTCAATTTACTCTAAATTTTAAACTAACGGAGCTAAACGTGATCTGCTGAGCATAAAATTTGCTATGTTACGCTGCACTTGTAAGACGGAGACAACATATGCGGGTGTAGCGTCCTTTTAATAAGCATTATCCAAAGGTCACTACAAGAAAGCAATTCTCATTATTCTCCAACAATCGTTTTGTTTTGTTTTCATTATCAATATTATCATAATATAATTAATGAGTACCTATGATAAATTGTTATAACAGCATGCAGTTATTACACTTATTTAAATTTAAATATATAAAATGAATTTGTGAAAGTAGTAAATGTATTTGATGCCTTAACGTAGTCATTTTCTAATATTTCTTTATTTTTATATTTTTGAAACGTAATTCTTTACAACTTTTTTTTTTAGCGTTAGCATTTTAAATTTAAATTCGTTTTGTATTTCTTTTTATTCGGTTATGACAAAATATTTATTTTATTAAGTTGAATTAAAACACTTTATATTTATTATGTTCAGATTAAAATTAAATAATTAATAATAATAATAATAATTTAATTATCCTACCGAATTTACATCCGACATTTTTAATAGGTACCTGAAATTTCTATTAAGCCGAGTTACCATCTACCCCAAACCTCAATTATTCGAGCCTCGAAAATAAGTTAAAATACTTAGAATGAAATTTTGGGTCTGTCCCCGTTATATAAACTACTCCTACCTTATCTTAGTCCGTGGTAGGTACTTTGTACTACTGAAAAAAACCTATTTTAAAAATAAATAATGGTTATTTAAGAAATTTGAAGAAAATACAATATATACAAATAATATACTGATAATCATTAATATTATGAGAGGCATCGTTAAATTGCGTTGAAATTTGACTGGTAGACGTATTATTTAATATTACAATTCCATTCAATAGACATACCTTATTAATTATCAAATAATGTGTTCAACGCTTATTTAAAATTTACTTAACACTTACTTGTACCGCATTTATAAACTGTAGTAGTTTTAATTATTTGAGGAAATAATATTAATAAAGAACTCAAACATAAAAATCGACGTAACATTTTGATAATYAAAACTAATGAAATAACATAAACACGACCAATAAAAACTACAGCAAGTAACTTACGTCTGCCATCTACACAACTAGACGACCTTCTGTCTTCTGTTATGTAGGTATGTTTTATAATAATGTATCTGTGAACACTCCTCTTACAACATTATTAAATTACAAACCCGGTTTGTTTTAATTAAAAATATTATAACGAGGAAAAAATAGAACCTATTCATTTACAAATAAATCCGTTTTATACAGACAATATATTAGTATAGGTATATTACAAATTACAATAATATTATATTATATCTTTTAAACTGAGTATATTAGGTAGTTCAATTAAAAATTATACAATAAAGCTCATAGTTACACAGCTCCACTCTAAAGTTACTAAATTACTTACATACCTATACATAAAATAATCTAAAATATTTTATTTAGTATAATATACATTAGGCGGTAGAAGGGAAAAAAGGCAAATGAAAAAAAATCAATGAAAATTAGATTAGGTACGAAAATATTTTACAAAAATAATTATTATAATAAATAATATTTAACGAAAATAGACGTTAAATATACGTGGTTATTTTGTGCATTAGCCCTCTGGGTCTCCATTCTTCTCTCTCTCTCACATTGAGAGATTTTATAATTTATTGATGACAACCCAATGGAAACCACAAGTCACTAAGTGAGTGAAAATAATCTTTATTATTTGCGATAATGCGTTAAATACCTATATCTGGTATCGGTATGAGTACCACGGGTCATGTGGAACTATAATAAAAATGTAAAATCCATACTTATCTTATAATGATTCAAGTTCATATAATGAGATTTTATGAAATATCTGGAGTAGTAATAGTAGTAATATTATAGTACGAGTATGTTAGTTCCTTAGTAGTACGCTGTGTTCTSGACTGTTCTGTATCCARCAACAATGGAAATAATAAAATCGAACAAAAAATTGACAACATTTGTCTTGATAGTTATATGATGTACATTTTAAACTTTAAGACAAGAGATTTAATTAAATGGCGATGTTCAAAAAAGTCTTTGTTAAAGTGTCTAGCAGTTTTAAGTAGGTACTTATACCGTTAAACTAATGACAAATCAAAATATTCTGCAACACGGTCATAATCATTTACCAAATCGCAAAGAAATCATGGTAACCAAAGCTTTGATCAATATAAAAGAAAAATCATGTAAKCATAAATAGATAATAATATGTTAATCAATTGTATAAACATTTAATGATTTATGTGTATTATATCTATATGTGCATGAAACTATGAAAGTACAGTAGACGGGTATCTGCCTAATCTATAGAGAAGTGAGTCTCATAATTTACCATATACAATTTTACCGGTAAGGTAAATTTACAAAAAAAATTTTACGATTTACATTTTTTCACTTTATTTGTATGATTTTGTATTTTTTATCAAAATATTAGGATTATAATATAAATTATGATTTTTATGAAATGATAATGACCGATACGCGTGTTACGAATTATTGTAATAGCACAATTCGACAACCATTGCGTCATTACAGTGAAAATTATTTTAATTTTATATTTTACCACAGCTAATAATTATTATTTTTATTTTTATTAAAGGGTTTAAATACTTATGCTTTTTTTTATATTTATCTTGCCTTCTTTGTACATAATATTGTGAAAAATCTAATAAAGTAAACTAATAATTGAATTGTAATTTGTAATAAAAAAATTAAAAATTTTACCGTTAATTTGGTAGCCCAAAAATATCAAATACCTAATGTTTTTACGTAAAACCCACAGATATATACAATAACTAGATAGCTAACTAAGATAGCAGTTGGAAGTCAACCGCCATATGCGTGGTAGTCAATGTTTACATTAATTATTGTTATTGTATATATCTGTGGTAAAACCTACTTCACTATACAGTAATTTATATAATATAAAATATGATGCAACACTTCAACCTGAATAATAAATTTAAGTCCTAATGAGTTATATTATATGTTACATCAAATAACAATATATTACCTATAGTAACTAATAGCTATAGATTTATTAAAATATATATAGGTACTTAATCCATATGCGTACCCTATACTAACTGTATTAGCGAATCCTTGACATACCTATTATTAGATATACTGGTTTTTTCTAAACTTTCTGTTTAGATTATATCATAATGACTAATGAATACTGCTGAGTAGATACCCATCATTTGAATTTTTATTTTAAAACTATAATGTACAGAAATAATAATGATTCCATTTACTGTACTGAAAAAGGCTAGCGAAGAGATGGAAAAAGAGGTATTTTATCAGATGAAAGTTTTCAGCGGGAGGGTGGTTTTTTTAAAAAAAATTATAATTTTTGAAAGGCTTTGAAATAATTTGTATTGTAATTTGTAGGTATACCGTATATGGTATATAATATAATAAGATACATTCTAAACTTGTACAATTTACTGCAGGGGCGTATACAAGGGGGGGGGCGATAGGGGCGATCGCCCCCCCCCTGGACATTGTTGAATGTGTTTCATGTATAGGTGCTTACATATTTTATTATAATGTTATATTAAAAAATTAAAAATACCGTGCATATTATTTTTTCTTAATGGAAATGGAATAAATGGATAATGGTTATCAAAAACCTGTTATCAATTAAGAATGAAAATAAGACTGATTAAAATAAAAAAATTAGAGATATCGTGGCTATAATCACAGATATATACAATAATTACTATTGTTGTTGTATCTGTGGCAGTGTGTCTATAATAATTATTAATTGTGATCGTCTTCAACTTACAAGATTTTATCATTTATTTTTTTTTTAATGGTCCGCACTCTGCAACCTTATTAGACATTAGTATAAAGTATAATTTTTRTGACATTAATTTTTAGCTTACTAGGCAATAAATCTAATTAACTAAAAAAAAYKKCCTTATGAAATAATTTGCATTAATGTATATTTTAGTCTTTACTTACCCATGTTGAGCAAAATCAGTTTAGATTTTTTTTACAACTAGTTATTATTTATGACATAACTTAAATAGTTAAAAATGCTATCATATTTATTTAATTTCCGCTATTCAGTATTACTTTACTCAGATAGTCTGATTTAGATATTTAATTGATTAATTAATTTAATTAGGTATGTGATTATTTTTATAAATTTGTCCACCTTTTTTCCTTTGCATATATCCTTCTGAAATATGCTTAATGTTACATCAGGTTAAAAACATGACTGAGAAGCCAAATGTCTCAGTAAAAACTGACAGGTTTGGCTTTGATGAACATTCATAGAAACATAACTATTAGCACATCAAAAGTTGTAGAAAAATTTTCAAAGACTAAAAGAAAATTGGATTTTGTTATTTAAATATTATTTTATTATTATATATTTAATATAACTATTATTATATTATGTGGTTATTATAATATGCTTTTATATTTATATGTACCTATGTCAAGTTATTTTATTTGGTTTATTGTTGATGTTGTTTACAATAATTAATGTTATGGGTTATGAAAGTGGGTAGAAATCAATTATTGACGTTTAAGCAAGCGAAACRATCGAAAAATTTTGATCCGCCAATTTATTTATAATCTGTACACTGTCGTTTATGTACAAATTTTTTTATAAGAACCTATGATTTGAGTTCAAATTTCACCCTCCCCTGGAAGAAGAACTGAATACGCCCCTGATTTACTGTCGTCTATCACTACATCTATTACCTACTGGTTAAAAGTTATATTACATCTACCTAGATGGGAATTAATTTTTGTCAAATAAAGATTATATACCTAGTGATTATTATTATTATTGAGTCGTGACCCATGGATGGTTATATAAACAAAATACACGTCAATAAGCTATGACAGGAGTAGCGAACTGCCGAACCTTTTTTGGGTGTAGTGCCAAATTTTAGCAATCAGGGATTTGACAATTTTTCGTGTGCTCAAAGTTTGTAAATACTGAATAGAACAAAGTAACATAATCAATCTTATAGGAATATTATAAAATTTTAAAATATTAATAATTTATTTATTTGAAATTTTTATAAATACAATTTTAAGAATAGCATAATTTTTCTCAGTTTTAATTTTTATGTGTCATTGAAATTTGATAAACGTATGTCACGCGTGACGTGGGTTCACTATACCCCTAACTAGTCTATAACAATATAAATTATGAATTATTAGTGTCTGCAGGTGCCTCATATTTTCAACCATAATTAACCATTATCTATTTTCAATTTAGTTCTTATAACAATCATACTGCAGGGTGTAACAAAAAAATGAAATAACTTTTATTCTAACCAATATTTTTTAAATTTTTATTGTACATATTATTGACACATTTGCTATACACATCATGTATAGTACAACTCTTTATACTTATTTTATTTATTTTTAATACCAAAATTAATAAATTTGAAATTTGGTTTTTAGAAAAATTTTGATTGTAAACACATTTTTTGTAATCGTAGTTTTTTTTACAATTCAATTTTTTTATGAGAATATTTCTAAATGTTATGTAATTTTTCTAACCTACTTACTTGTTATTTGTTAAAATCTAATAWTTTTTTTTAAATATTATTAATTTTCAAATGAATGATGAGTTATTTAAAAATTTGGAACCAATTTTAAAAAATCATAAAAAATAAGACTCCTAATTTAGATAAATTTACTTACAATAGATAGTTTCCTAAAAATCTGATTTACAAATTGGCTACTTTTTAGTTTCTAAAAAAATGTTAACTAGATTTTAAATAATTTATTTWAACTATTAAAAAAAGAGCGGGAAAGTGGATATCGCTCTGCTGTACAGTAGGTTACAAGTGGGTTACTGTAATGGATGGAATTAAATTTGAATTCAATGATATTATATCATTGTATACGTAAAACGATTCTGAGCGGAAACTGTTTATCTGTCTTGGATGTATTATAGATGATTAAAATTTTTCAAATTTTAGATTTAAAAAGAAAATTTTTTTATGAATTTCTAGCATAAAACAATTTATGAATTTTCCTGATTTTTACGTCAAAATTCAAACTTTGAATGCTTATAAAGAAACATT